TTAATTCAAGTAATTTTCTGGATTTCCATCTGTGAGGACTTCAAAAGTCCATTCTGTAGAATATCAGGGAAGCATTGATAGCAAGTGCTGGATTTTCACATTTAACTGTGCACGTGTGTATGCCAGATGTTGCTGCCAGTTTCACAGCCAGTATAATAACAGCAAACACTGATAGTTTTGCTGGAATTACAATATGAAATCTGGGCCAAAGTCAGTGGAATCCTTGGGGTGTAATTCATAAGAATATGCATGCTTTCATTAGGGATTTCTGGTGATCAATTAACAATATACAAGTGCTGCATGCGTCAGATATCAGCTAGCTTTAGGCCAGTTTATCTGGGCAGTCATTTATGCAATGTGATGTTCCAGGCTATGAATCTGAACTGAACACTCCTGCACTCTCCTAGCAACACTGCTTCAATTTACAGGGTCTGGTAACTGTCACTTTTCAACCATTTGGGCCAGAGGAGATTAAGTTGTGGGTATTCAAATGAACGATTCCATTCCATCAGCCAAAATTCCTTTTCATTTATCAAGCTTCCAACGTTACTGCACACCCCTACCCTGCAATTCAGGATTGAGTTCTGGCATTAGCATTTCCTAGCTCATCTTGCTTCCCTGCAATTTATTTAATATGTTGTTTAGGTATATGACTTCCAACTGATTTTTTAAAAAAAATTCTGACTTCATCAGTTTTAACTGATTTCTTGAACACTTCCCCATGTGAACATTCCGCTTTAATTCATATTCTCTATTTCTTTCACATCCTTGAAAAATTAGATCACTTAATTCAAATTATTTAGCACATGTTTGGTCTCAGTGTCCACGGCCATTTCTTGGCTGGAAATTTTTCACAATTATTCTAGTTCTATCGTTAAGGTGATGGGATGCTCTCCAAGCAATGTGGTACAGTTTAAAATGTTCTGCTCCTGGATGTCAGTCAGTGATGTTGGAAAATCCGTCTTCCCAGGCTGCTTGACTCTCTTTGTCATGGGGAAAGGATATGAATGGGTGTAATCTGGGAAGAAACTGCATCTGAGACATTGCGGATGCATTTGTAGGTTGAGGATTGGGAGATGTCACACAGATCCCCAGTTGCTGCACAGAACAAGAAACAAGAACAATTCAGGGTAGCTGTGATCTTGAGTGGGATGTGTTGGTCAACTTTTCCTTCTGAGTACAGGTCCCACTCCAGCAGATGACACAGTTCAGTGATGATGGTGCAAGACATCCAAAATCTGAATCTTTGCTGTGTTTCTGAGAGTTTTAGAAAATGACAGCAAAGTCATTATATGCGGGGGTCTGGGCATTCCCTTCTGCCTCTTTCGGGGATCTCCACCTGCTGCTTCTCCCTCTGGAAACTGTATGGTGGTTGCTGTTTTTGCTGATAAGATTGTAATTGTTATCGTCTTTTATGTTATTTTGAATAAAGGCCACAAGGAATCCTGCAAGCTCAGTTCCATCTCAGATGTGTGAGCTAATAATTTTTGAACAGCATATCGCTTGTGGTATTCCTGATCCCTCACATCAGTGACTGTGAAGGAATGTGCCATGACACAGTTTGCTATGTAGGCTTCGGAAGGAGGCCAATGACATGATATGGATCTCTGAGCCATGGAACCTTACCTAGATGCATCTTACAGAACCAACGTGTTAATGCTTCATGAACATAGTGAAATTAAGCGCTTATTCACCTTCACAAAAGAAGCCATCCTTGCACATCACAGACCATATCATTGCACATTAACAGTTAATTATGAGCAGCTCATAAACAGTGTCTTCCATTTTCAGGCATGAAAGGTGATGTAGAAATGGCAAGTCCAATTGAGACATTTAAATATGTATCCGCATAGCTTTGCTTATCTGATAAGGACCAACTGATGCAAAATATGTAATTATCACGATTACTTGAGGCCATAATTTCTACTGCTCAATCTTGCAAAAAGAATGACTTTTCAATGAAAACCAATTTGTTGCCAGATTGGTGGACAGAGGTCCCTGGATTGAGATTGGATAAACTCCTTGAGTGACTCTGGTGGCACCCCTGACTGACCATAATTCCCATTGACACCAGAAAGGTCTGCACCCCTATGATTTTTAGACATGACAATTTGGTTGAAGCCATGCAGTGTGTTTCCCCTGTGTACTGCTGGGCCATGCTGACATTGATGTAGTCTCGTGCCGTATGCGCTCTCCTCAATTGCTTAATGTTGTGAATGGTGAGAAGCTGCCTTACCCTCCCTCTGTGTCAAAAGGCAATGCAAGCTAGAGAGCCTGGCAGCCCATAAGTCAATGCAAAGTGAGTGGGCTTTAATAAATTAAGCTGAGAGCCATAAGATGCATCCTGGGCAGATATTTGTGTCCATGCATGCTAATGTGACCTGACAGAAACATGCAAATTATAAGTGTCCCTTAGCTCCTAAATGAAGTCCTGAAGAGTTGAAGTCATGTGTGAGTTGGTTTGAAAGTAGCCGTAATGATGTGATGAGGCTGGTAATTTGATAATATCAACTTGCATGATATAACGTGGAAGAGGAGAGGGTGCCTGGGACACAGGGAAGACAGACTTGACTGAAGACTTGGAGAAGCAATTTTAGATAAAACTAGACTAACTCTAGATAACTCTAGATTCCAGCATCGGCAGTTCTTACTATCTAGATAACATAACAGCTCTAACTGCCATGTTAAGAAGTGGCACAATCTAGTTTCTTGGGGAAGGATGAAGAATTGGGAGCTGCACAGAAATGATGTGAGATTAGTCAGTGATGAGGAACAAATACACAGAAATAAGGCAGTTGCTACTTGTTAGCAAAATTCAGAACTATTTATTTTAACCTTAAGGGGAAAATCAGAAGTTTTCTACTTGATATTGGGAAACTCATTTATTCATTCTCACTGTATTTTCTCAAATTTCTCACCGTTTCCCACTTTCTTCAAGGCAGAGCAAATTCACATCCAGTATCATACTGAGACTGATATAAGTGGAGTGATAGTATCCCAAAAGTGATGCTTGCACATGTTGCAATATGATTCTTAATATTGTCATTCTTGCAGATCTAGTAAACATTTGTGTTATTTTCACCATGCTCATTTGCAACTTATACTGGCCATTCCTTAACTTCTTTCTTCAACATGGTTTTAAAATGTATATATTTTTAATAGGGTTTGATACTAGGAAGCTGTTGAATTGCCATCAGAGGTATTTCTAAAAGGAAATATCAGTCAGTCATTATGAAAATACAAGGTCGGTAATGTTTAAACTCCCATGACAGATGCATAGCAACAACTGTTTAATTTCCTTACAAAGCGTAGAAAATTAAAAATAGTGTCAGCATTAGTGGAGAGGTAGTAGGAACTGCAGATGCTGGAGAATCTGAGATGACAAGGTATAGAGCTGGATGAACACAGCAGGCCAAGCAGCATCAGAGGAGCAGGAAAGGATTTCTGAAGAAGGGTCTAGACCCGAAACATCAGCTTTCCTGCTCCTCTGATGCTGCTTGGCCTGCT